GAGGTCTATATTTCCATGCCTTTTTAGGAACGCGATGCTCCTCTATTCTATATAAATATTCTCCTATTTCTTTTATACCTTTCGATTTAATCGAGGGCTGATACAATTTTTAATACTTTCTTTCTTGATCATTTTCGTACATACTTTTCCTGCCCTCAGAATCTTCATCTCTGATGCCTGTGTTGTGTTCATTTCTGATTGTTTCAAAACGCAGCATTCGCCACCGTATAACAACGTTGGTATAGCCATTGTTTTATTGAATTCAGTTGTTTTTTTAGTAATCCGAACTAATTGGGGGGGGTATGTTCTAATTCGGAAATGTTCGGATTATCCAAAAAATGTACCGTACATATACAAATACATCTATAGGATTACCAGACACTGCAACATAGCGTGCGATGTGAGAAAATGGCAACGTAGCGTAGCGATCACATGATTACATCGCATCTTCAAGCAGGTTCAATTATTTTTGGCAAAAGAAGATTACCGATTTTGCAAGTTCCTCCAAGCGAAAATTATGCTGCATAAACATGTAATATACACTGTAGATACCAGTGCAATAAACGTTTCATTTCGGCAACTTGTGTTTCAATTGTTCAGTTCTAGAGTAATTATAAAATCCTTTCTTTATACTACAAATAAGAATTTTATTAATTTTGTTTATTTTTCGCGATGAACTACGCTTGTCCACGACTATGTAAATGACCCACGAACCACTTCGATGCAATGGCAGGAGAGACTGGAAAGTACTACGATAACAGCATCTGGAGAAATATGCTTCATCGGAGGCGGATGGACTGTAGACACCGAAAGGTGTAAAAAAGTAAAACAGGAATTACATACATTCAAACGTACCTTGAACACACAAACATACATATATAATCAGAAATAATGTGCAAAATATTTGGTCCGCTAAGTGAATACATTACATACAGTAATGGGAATCTCTCCTAAACCAATTTTTTCTTCTGCCTTTTCTTCTTCTAACTCTTATCTTGCTTCCACTTTTTCTTCTTCTTCTTCTTCTTCTTCTTCTTCTTCATCTTCTCTCTCTCTCTCTCTCTCTCTCTCTCTCTCTCTCTCTCTCTCTCTCTCTCCATTCTTTTTTTGTTTCTTCTATCTCTCCTCTTTCCTCTTCCGTTTCTTGTTGTCCTTCAATTGCTTTTATATTTCTTTCTTCCTTTTCTTTTTTTTACATTTCTTTTTATCTTCCTTCTATTCATTATTGTTTTTTCTTTCTTCTCATTTTCCCCTCTCCTTCTTCTCCTTCATCTTCTATTTTCTTTCTTATTCTACTTCCTTCTTCGTCTTTTGGTTTCTCTCTTCTTCCTTCCTGTTCTAGTTCTTCTCTTCCTCCTTCTCCACCTCCTCATCTTCTTTCTCCTACTTCATCTTATTCTTTGCTCTTTATTTTGGTAACCCAATTATTACATGTGGCGACACAGCGGGAAAACTGGCAATTCTCAAGGAATTTATTATTCATAGATGAAGTCGGGGAGTTTATAATTTCCATGGGAAAAATTGGAAGTGAATAAAATAAGAAGTCATATTTCAACGGATGAATGGAAAATGGAAAATACTATTCTCGGAAAATTGCTTTCGAAATTAAGTCCATTTTTTTTACTTTTGGATTCGTATCCAAAGTAGCTTTCTTTTAAAAACTGCATTTTAAGGATACGAGAGATGAATTCTATAGACCGGCTGACATATCGCTAGTTTTCCGTGGTTTTTCTATGAATACCACGCGAATCTCGGAGCAGTACCTAAACAAACAGGTCGTCGACCACCGCGATCTTTCCTTCCTCTTCCTTGTTCTATCCTCTCCCCTTCCCCTCACACACTTGCATGCACTACCCTACCACACGTCGGGAGAACAGTCGGGAACTTAGAGCTTACCCGTCTGGGGCACTACCCCACTGGCGAAGATTCCTGGAGAGGGAACCCACAAACGTATGTACATGCAGGATGACCCCCGGATCCCACATTCTAACTGGGGAGGAACACCGCCGCCTCCACTCTAAGGGGTAGGTCAAATTTAAACAACCATCTTCAAATTAAAGTCCTGAAAAGCTGTTGTAGAAGAATATATGGAGCATTTCCAAAACCCATAGTGATGGAGCTTACTGGATAGTAGAAGAAGAAATTAAGTGCTGTGATATCTCTCGAATGTGTCCCCGGGAATAATATATTCATAGAGAGACATCTTCAATGTTATCTGAAATTGCAGAGTTGAACAGCACCAGGTATTGATAAGGGGCTCGTGGCTAGCTTTTGGTGACCGTGCTCGCTTTTCACTATTCTGCCCCGAGTTCGATTCACGGTCGAGCCAAGACTCTAGTATGCGTTTTCCTTGCAATGTCCCAGTATATGTTGCTGTGTTACGATGAGAAAATTCATTTTTCAGGTTGAGAAGACAGGCAATATGACGTGCTCATCTCACGTACCCCCTTAACCCATGCCCGCGAGGTAGGGACGTCGCTGGTAGGCCTGAGCCCGTTCACGGGCTGCCGCGCCAAGTACATACATACATAGGTATTGATAAGATTCAATCCTTTTGCTGAAGTATTTCCCGGGTACACATGCGATTCTGGACAAGTGATTGCTAGCCGCATTCAACTATCCAACATTAATTCCGGCTCCCTGAGAGGTACTTTATGACAAGTCTGACAACAAACGCTTTGACCTTATGACAAGACTCTCAACAACCATTGACCTATCACTTGTCTCCCCTCAGTACATAAGATTTTTACATCCTTGGAAGCCAGTCATACCCATCTAGACGCCAACTATCTTCTGGCATCAGAGCAAAATGGTTACAGAAAGGTCAAGACCGTAAAGAAATATTGATAGTAAACAATTCGGTAATTAATCTGATGATCTCGTGACTCAGTGGCGAAATCGCTTGCCTTTCACCACTGAGGTTCCGAGTTCGGGTTCCGGGTTCGATTCCCTCATGTGAAATTTGTTACAACAAAACGAGTTTGCATGCTTCACAGTGCTAGTCCAAGCTTTGTGAAGCGTCTTAAAATTTGCCCCTCTCCGTATTCCTTCTTAAACCTGGCCGATGGGTAGACGCCACAGGGCGAGACGCTACCTGTAGGTGATTCCCTGACTTGACTATGAGAGACGAGACTTGACACCACAGCGGCCCCTAGAGGGCGCTTATTAACGTAGTGCGCTCAACGCCTCTTAAGGAGTTAGGAGACGCGTTTTGTATCGATATCGATGCAACAAATAAGAAATGAAAAAAAAAATCATTCCAACAAACGACAGCGCAACATCTCTGTAGGATGGGTCAAGTATACTAAGGCATTTGACTTGACACCTCATTCACGGTTTTTGTATGTCCGTCTCTACGATATTAAACGCACAGTATGTCAACCTAATCTAGCACTGTATGAGAGCTTGTCGTACCAAGATCAAAGTCTCATTCGCTGGAGGTAGTTATGCTGCCTAGAAACTGAATATCCAGCTAGGATTTTTTCAAGGATATAATCTTAGTCCCTGTGGTTCACCCTAGCCTTAAATCCTGTAAGAAAAATTCAAAAAGAGTCATGAATGGGATTTGAAATCGCCGAAAATGCCCAAATTCTCTTTAATTATTAGTTTTACATGGATGACCTTAAGCTGTACGCTAGAGATCTAAGAATCTTAAATTGATGCTTGAACATGTAAAATCCTTGAGCTTCTCAATTTTTATGAAGTTCAATATTGATAACTGTGCTCGTAAAAAGGGACATTTTTTAAGTTTACCAAAATCACACTGGAGAGTGTCATAAATATCCTAAAACTTGAGCAAGAGGATTACTGAAAATATTTAAACCTGCATCAACTGTTGACAGGCGCGGATCCATGGGAAGGGAAATTATGGAAATCCCTCCCTAAACATTTTAAAGTAACTATTAATTTTAACTTGTCACGAAACTTTCAAGCAAAAACATTTTCGGACAATCATTATAACGAATAAAATCGTATCACAGCATGAGCTGAGTGTAGCCTGCGACATTTTACAAAATCTATTGCGTGACACACTTGACCAAAACATTTTCAATTTCCATTCCCAAAATTTGTCTCTGGAACCGTCAACGACTTTTGAGAACTAGAAAAGTAATGTGATGTTCAAAATAAAGTTCTGCAAAGAGCCGCAAAAATCTATAAACATATTGAAAACTTCATTTTAGCTATTAACAGTTCAGCAGAATCTGTGTCTATCTAAAAGTACATTTGGCGTAGTTCGGACAACTGCACTGCAGGGGCTTAATAGAAAAGTTCGATTTACTCTTATCAAGTACTACCGTATTCATCATCCCAGCTGTTCAATGGCAAGGCTGTACTGACTCAGAGAAAAGGGAGTAAAATGAATAATCGAAGAACACAAGCAGAGTTGATTAGGACACGCAAATTAATGGTCTCTAATTTTTCTCTGAAGTATTTAAATATTCCTCCATTCAACCCATGAAAAAAGTTAATTGAAAATTATAAATGGAAGGTTGTAGTACTAACAAAAGAAGTATTGGTTCGTTTAACATTTGTACACACATGTTTAAAGTCATAAGAGTCGTTTAGTTGTACTATTAATTATTCTTTCAACATAAATCTCCGACAATTATTGATGCAGCACTGAGACTTGATAGTATTATGCAGAGCCGGATTAATATCTTAATAGGTCCTAACCGTGACGAAACCACGGGGCCTTATACTAAAATTAAAAAGTTGAACATCATTGATTTGAATACATATTATAACCTTTGCAATTTAAAAATCGGATGTTAATATATATTTGCATAATTAATGACTAAAATAAAAAGTTTTAAAAATAAAATTGGGGCCCTATCCAACAGGGGCCCAATGCCCTTGTATAGTGTGCTTATACATGTCCTCTGGTATTACGGATTTCTGTTCAATATGTATGAAAATATTCACGGTTCTATTATGCTATAGGAGTGTATATGCAAAATGCTGTATGATTTTCAGAGTCTATTGCCGTCGATTCCGACACCATTCGAGTTCCGTCCTCCAGACGACAGGGGTTCATTAAGGGGAGGGGGTAGTTAACCAAGTGGGGGTCATGCGCGGCCCATGTGTTTTGCTCTCTGGTAGTAGTCTTTATTGGTGTCTGGGCTGTTTGTTTTCTAGGGACGTACATTGGAGTGAGGTTTTTCTAATAATTATAAATTGAGGAAGGAAATCTAAGAACAATCTGGTTCATGTGTGTTTACCGGCCATTCTTTCTGTGATCAAGACATTTTTATAGCACCCCTGTAAAAAGGCCGAAAAGAAAATGAAGTGGCCGGAGGAGAATTTTTCTGCGAATCTTCCTAACATTTGTAGGCTGTGTATGGCGGAAGGGACTGAATGCATGCAACAAATATTTGCAGAATGTGAGCATGATGGAGAGAGATTTCAACTTTCGTCTAGAATAAAAGCGGTTACGTCCCTGAAGGTAATATATTCTTCAATGTTGGGTTATGTATCCAGACCGGTTTTTTATAAATACTGTGTATTAGTAGTATATGAGCAGATTTTGTTCATACGAAGTTTAACCATGTTTAAATGTAATTGATTTTATTTACAGCGTGGCTCTTAATTATTTTGAAGTTGCCAAACTTGTGAAATTGTGGTTAGTTTGCCTTATAAATATGTTTTCATTTATGTAGGTTGTTCATAGTACAGTTTATTTTGTTGTTTCAAATTTAAAATTATTTTGCAAGTGTGCTTGGATTGAAAGAATTATAATAATATAAATTAAATGCAGTAATTCCTTTAGTGCTACCTGTATCATGTATACAAATATTCATGGTATCCAACCTTTCTGCGATATAATGTACCACTACTTAATTATAAAATTATATAGTTTGATCCAATTATATTTTCAAGGTGTCTTTTTTTCAGATCAGAGAGTTGCTTTATTGTTGGGTTCTTTCTCTTATACGACTATTTTTTTTTTTTTTTTTTTTTTTTTATTAATGTAATGTGTTCAGATTTTAAATAAATTGAAATGGGTACACATTGATGTGCTAAAATATTGAGATTATAGGGGACAATTGAGAATATATGTGAATATTGTTTCTCATGTACGTTGTTTTGTTTTTAAAGAATTTCATTTAACCGTTCCACTTATTTTGTTTTTTCTTATTGTGTTTTCAAGGTGGAGCCTGGAGATCAGTTACCAGAGCAAGCCTGCCAGCATTGTGTTGCTCAAATAAACCGCTGGTATGATTTTAAAATGTTATGCGAAAGCAGTGATACAATTTTGCGGCAACAACTGGGACATTCAAATTCTGATGTGGAAGTTATAATGGTTTGTGACACTTGTAGCGTAAACTAACCAAAATGTAGAGATATTTGTGCTATTTTTCTGTAGTGAGTTAACATAGTCCTTTAGTTACTTGTGTATGGCCTAGAATAATGTTGAAGAGTGAGTGGCATTTGACCCTGCATCATTTTCATTTATGAAAATTGTTTTATATCCCTCGGTTATATAAAGTATACCATACGTTTAACGTTGTTCACCATATAAAGTAGAGTTATGACTCTAGATCATTTGTTTTTTCTATTTGCTTCTAAACATTTATCAATTTGTTGGGCCGACTGGCCAACCATTCTGACAAATAGAATTACTTGGAGGCAAGTTGTCCAACAAATTTTTGTTGGGCAATTGGTTGGTTCCATCCACATGACTATCAATTCCTCCACCAAATTGAGTAGTGTGCAAAGGTGTTGGGCCAATCTACAGTAATTCCAGTCCTCGTAACACTGGCCCAAATGTGAAAGAATTGGTTAATTGGAAAGTTCTCTCCATATAAGGGTTTTGGAAGATGCTCATTAAAAATATGAAGTCAAGAATTTCGAAGTCGAAATTGCAGATCCAATATTCCTAAAAAAAAATTGAAATATGAGAAAATTCTAATTTATTTTCAAAATTAGTTATATAAGCAGGTTTCGACAAAAATTATGTGAATGAATGCCACATTTGAAAAATAAGTTTAATTTATAAATTGTAGCATTTGTACGATAGTAAAAGAAATAGTTTTACAATTATTTAAACTCCTTTATTCAAACATGTGCCAGCAGTGCAGTTGCTGTAACTTATGTGATTTTGACTTATTTGATTTGACTGCAGATTTACACACTTTTACTTGTGATTTTCTAGAACATCAATTATTTCTCAATTCCTTTTGTTTTCACTTCAGTTATTAACAAATATTCTGCATTCAGGCAAGTAAAATCTTATATTTTATCACAAACAATGTATATAATCTTTGTGAAGGACTTAAATAACCTAATTATTCATATCTTGCTGGTATAGAACTCTACTGCATATATTAGATTTCAAAATGGGAATGAATACAATAGGTGTATCCTTTACCTGCCTTCCTACTCTAGAACTATAAGGGTTAACTACTATGAATATAAAAATCTCCAGGTAGAAATTTTTTGGAAGTGTGTGCAATAGTACTAGAGTTTCCTCTGACTTCCATTACACTCGCTCTGATGTTTCATTGCTGAATTCTGAACACTACTGAAAAGTTAATTTGTTGGTTGGATTGTGTATAGTCAAGTGTCTAGTATGGTTGCATTAACAACAATTGGTCCAACAAATTGTGGTCCAGAGAGACCTTACCTGAGACAAGCTGATTATACATGGATAAAGAAAAAATCAAGGAATGTTTTGTCAGTTTCTGCAAATAATTTATAAATTCGTTTGTTGGATTGTGTCACAGTACTATTGTTTTTGTAAAGCTGACATATTCTATATTTTAATTTTTCAAAATTTTGTTTAATTTTAGCATATGAAAAAATTGTTGTTCCATTTTATTACACTAATATGAATTTAGAATTTAATTGCTAATAAAGAATATAATCTTATGGGAACCTATGCATTGTTTCATTATGAAACAATTTTCTACCAATATTTTGTTGGTTTTGATTTAAACACGTTGAATGCATTGGTAGTTTAGGGGTCGTGTGGCAGAGTTTATGAAATAACTTTTTTGTCTAATTTCTGTGTATGCATGTTAAAGTTTTCTGCAGTAGTAAAATTTGGGCTTAAATGTTACTTATGCAGTAAAACATTTTTCTTTCTTCTGGATATGTTCATGAAGTTCATCTGCTGTAAAGAGAGAAAGTGGATAGTAATGGAGATACATCTGTCTTTTTCTTCCATCCTTTTTCCTTGCAAGTGCTCCTTTGTTTTTGTCTATTCACTTAGCTGAAGGGAATATTATTTTGTTCCTTCTCGTTTTGTTTTTTCTTAATTGCCTTATTGCAGTGTCATGCATTTTTTATATTGGAACTGCAGGGTTTTACATGAATTCTGTATTAGTGTATTTGTAATCTCTCCTTACCATTATCATTCCAGAAATTCTTAAGGTCATGTAGACTGCTTTAAAAGCACATTAGCAGTTATATTAAATTTTGTCATGATTTCTTGGTTTATTCAAGAATATATTGCTTTAAAATGAATGATAATGCATATTGTTCGATAAGTTTTTAATATATATCTGATGTTGCATGTGTGTAGGTTTTGTTCTGTTTGAATGCTGTTTTGTGATTCCTTTTATTTTATTTATTTATTTCAATTTTCCATTGTCACTTAACCGTGCTCTTAGATAGCTTTGTTAATTAGGAGGATTGAGTTTGCTTGAGACGAGAATTATTTTACATCAGTAATCAATATTTGTGGGACAAATAATGAATTTAAACTAATGAACTGCTTGAGAGCAAACTAGACTGAATCACTTTGCCTCAGGGTTGGACTGTGTTATAGAACAATGTATTAGGTATGAAGGGAATTCTAAAATTAATATTGATATATTTGACTCATAGGTTTGATTAAAGTTGATTGATAATGTAAGGAAGTGGAAGTGCAGTGCATAGACAGAATTTATTTATAGAAAATTAAACCTTAAAAGGCAGAACAGGATCTGTTTACTTGGAGACTTTCCACCTGGGTTTCTCATGCAATTGCTTGCAGAGCGTTGACAGCATAATCACTTGTCTTAAACGTTGAAAAGACTTGAAGAATATATTCTATAAAAATTGAATGCTGGATTCTATTATAATTTTCCTTGCATATTTATTCAATGTGGAAATGGTGTCTACCTCCTATGCCGCCTCATTTTATGGCCATGGGAACCACACTGGTCTCAATCATGCCCTAGTTGACAGTTGAAGAGCTGGATGTCAATACTGTAGTCAGTTTTTTTCATTTTCCAAGCAAAAGCTTAGCAAAAGAATCTTTGGCATAAAAACATTTATTAACATAAACTCAACTTAAAAGCTGAAAAATCCTGGTCCTTTGAATTGGCTTTGAGACAATCCCAAACTCGGTAGGACATTTGATGATGAGATAGTAAAAACTTAATGCTGTTGATCTTTGTTATTTAATTTTTTATTATATTTTTTTTAGTCAAAATTTGACTTGAAGTTGACAAAATATGTAAGCAGATTTTGATCCTTGTTGAGCTAAGTTATACTTGTGAAGTGTACTGGCAAAACACACAGTTTATATAGGTGTGTTGTCAGCAAACAAAATAGAATCCAAAATCATTGAAGCTATCATTCCCATAACCAAAGAACATATAACTCACAACAGTAAGTTATGCTTGGTAAAGGACCAAAATATGAAATTTTCATTGGTTAAATGAAAATATTGGTTTCAATGAGAAGGAATTATAGTAATACTCGCTATATTAAAATTGGGAAAAATCTTTGTAAAATTTTTCATTACATTTTGTCTGCATTTCTGGAATGGAAGTGTTTAACCATGACACAATGCCAAAGTGATATGAAGTTGATCATCTTCTCTATTGGTCCTGTATACTCTGCTTCAAATCCATCGAGTTAACACTGGAATGCCCAGATTTACTTTTAAACAATGTTTTTGTATACATTAAATTCAAGAACTCTTTCAAATTTTTTTGTGTTAGGTTGGTCCTAGACTACTCAAAATGACTCCAACAGAATTGAATATTATTCTGGATAAATCCTTGCTAGTAATTGTAGTAGACCGCAATAGACAATTACTAATTGCAGTGTCTCTAGTGATGGTGCACAACTCTATTTAAAGCAATTAATATTGAGAAGTTTAGATCCAAACAATGACAATTTTTGACTACAGTTAAATAGTTTAAGGTAATAGAGGTTTCCTTTATTTGAAAGCTTGATGATTGTTTGAATTTGACTTGTCATTCAATAATGTTCCAATGAGAGTAGTGTATGGGCTGTTTGAAATTTTCTCTAACCATATTAATTTTCCAAGGATATTGTACAAAAAAATATAAACATCCCTCTGTTGAGTTTGAAATGAGTTAAACCGAGCTTGTAAAAAAAATTGACATAGACAATTTTAAGTAGCTTTTAATAAATATCTGACAAAATGGGTATACATTTTAGTTTCACATAACTGGATGTTATCAGAAAAATAGGTAGTAAATAAGAATAGAAAGAAATTATCGAGCACTGTGAATATTAATCACTAGACCTAATGTTTTGTTGCCTCTAAAAACTTATATTTTAGATATCTATCTGAGAGTACATTCTTAAAATTGAATTTGGCTCCATTGTAATTCAAGGCAAACATACAGTGATTTGAGAAATGCTGCCATTCTTTCTGGTGAAGTCCTGGCCATGGTTTAAAGGAGACCATCATGGACCTTTAAATAACAGTGCCTTTCCTTAAGTTGAATTGAACAGCGATTTTATGTGAAAAAACAAGAAACTACAAAGTCAAAAGACGATGTCAATGCAAAATATTGGCAGTTTCAGGATCTAAAGATAAAATATACACTTTTAGGCATATTGAAAATGGTTCTATGAAATAGTTATTTTTTTTATCATCTACATAAATGGGGTAAACTGGACATTGGCTTAAAAATGAAAGTTCAACTTATAGCCCATCTGTAATATTCCTTATACACTGGCGGAAAAAAAAGTATTGCAACACCGAGAAGGGCACGAGCAATCAAGTATGCGCTAAGAGATGTTAGGGATGGGGTGTCGTAGAAGTCGTGATTAACATTTCACGGATGACTAACGCCCAGTGACGTAAAGTCAGTGTGCTGAAATGGCCCGTACGCGCCATCTACTCCGCGGCTTTAATAGGCGCTGCCTACTGTGTCTAAGGTCTAGTCGGGACTTAGGTGTGCCACGGCGTTGCACTCGGTCGTCCCTTAGGCAATTGAACCAATGAGCGGGGTCGGATTGTCGACCTGCGCGAGGCCGGGCAATCCTTTTCGGCGCATTGCTGACCACGTGAGCCGTGATGTGACGTTGGTGCTGGCAAAGATGGGTAGACGA